ACTTACACATCCTAAAACCATAGATTGAGAATATCAGGAGTAATGATCCTAAAAGCTCTTTTGAACATTTGGTCAAAATTATTAATTATACATTTTATCTTAAATATATTTATTGCATCTAATTATTGGCAAATTGGTCATGTATGTCATACAAGATACAATCTGAAACTTACATAATATTATTAACTAATGTTATTCCCAATACATTGAATTAAAAAGATATAATCTCTCTTCACAAAGTAGCTTCTAGAGATTTGTGACACCAGAGAAATTTTAAAATACCCCAATTAACAAAAACTACATGCAAATGCACGCATAAAAATTTCCACTTATATTAATAGTTGAGCTTCTGTAAAGGGGTAAATTTTCATAAACATCTCTCATGAAAAACTACTCTTTTCCATCTTCAGAGGAAAGCTGTTTGTAGTACAAGAAAACTCAGAGAATTTCTGGAAAGAGATCAATAATTATCAAGCCAGGAATGAAGGTGTTTTGAGGGTTTAATTAAGGAGGGAAACAGGGCAACATGGAGATGAAGTCTCAATTAGTTTTTAAAACCAATGGAGACCACGCAAAAGATAAAATACTGAACATACGTTCTATGCATAAAGTTGGTGCTCATCACTTTGCATGATGGAGTGGTCCTCTGCATTGTCCTGCTTACCTGCAGCCAGGTTGTGGCAAAGTGACTATTACTGGCCTAATGTGCTATGAGTAGGCGTGATGTAGGGGGTATTTATTGTTAATAACCCTGACAGTGCAACATGACTCCGGGGCAGACACACACACACACACACACACACACACACACACACACACACACACACACACACACACACTAGCGTTTACCACCTGATAAACAGTAGATGTTCCACGATCATGTGACCATTTGTTGGCCCTGTAGATGCCATCCTATCCTGAGATGCTCCTTTGATACCCACACAAACCAATATATTCCCTCACCTGACTCTGAGAAAGAAATAGGAAAAAAAATTGTGTAAAATACTATTTGTCTGTGTACTATGCTCCTATGAATATTCACATTGGTGTATTTTCACAGAATTCCTTAAAAACAATGATGGGAGGGGTGAGGTCTGAGTCTAGAATTAGTCAAATTGTGGCAGTCTGGAATTTGTACAATGATGTCGCCGATGGTAATGATGATGACGTCATGCCATAATGCTGCATTTACTTTTGCTCCATTTATAGAGTCAATAAGCCATGTATAAAGTTAGTAATGGTTTCAGTGGTTGAGTTCCTAGTTTATCTGCCAACCCAAAATGGGTTAGATTACAATATTTGCCTTACTCACTAAATGTAACCCATCAGTGGTCAGAAGAAAATAGATATAAGGTTAAGAGAGAAGCAATATTGACCAACACGCTTTTGCTTTGTTTTATTTTCATTAGTGTTTTAGGTACTTTTTAAACAAAAATAATGGCCACCATGGTACTTTGTGAATTATAAAACCAATCATGCAACCAATGGATAAGATAGCTAGAGGAACTAGACAATTGTAAAGCCTTTTAAATCCTGCAAAAGGAAAACAACATATTCACAGAAATAGTGATATGATATAATGAAAAATTAATGCAGAATTTAAATAAATGGCCATGAGTCATGTCATTATACTTTTGATGATTTCATACCCTTAAAATTTAATGATTTTAATAAACGTTTTAAAAGACAAGATTAAAATTCAGGAAAATGATTCTATTTTTTTCTCAAAATTATTTTTCCTAAATGGGAGAAAAGCTGATTAATGAGTTAAGACAAATTTCAAACCAAACATTCAACAACAACAAAAAATTAACACTATTAACACTTACTACTTCCCCCAAATAGTCAGCTAAATAACTATCTTCAACAGGTAGCACTAGGTTTTGTAAGAAGATAGGTGACAAGACCCCTTTCACCGCTTCACCCTGGAAGCACCTCTATCGAACTTGGTTCATTGCCTAGAGGGCAAGAAACAGATTTCTGCCCTCATTCAGCATAATACTAAGCGCTATTTGTGAGGAGTAAAGGGTATATTAGTGCATTTCATCTCAAAATATGTTTTCATGTCATAATAATCTCTGATACAACTGGCCTCATACTCAGGGATTTTTTTCCCCCTTAGAATATTATAAGATTTGGTTTTTGAAAGCACGAGTTCTGTCCATAACAAATCAAATACCTGTGCATATTTCATTAGAAGTATTTTTATTTTGAAATCTAGTTTTGAACATAAACCACAAAAGAATCATTGCTTTAGTTAAAATATTTTATTTGGGAAAGTTCATAGTTCTGAGTCCATAAAATTAGTAATATCTATTATTAACTATGAAAATGAAATACATTTATATAATTCCTATATCTATGATTTGGGGCATGACTATACATTTTCATTTTTAAGGTAAACAATATTTGCCTAGAGTTTTATTATCTCATGGGACACACTTAGCTTATTAAGCTTCACAGGACCACGTGCGTGAAGTGTTTTTATTTGAATTCACCCTTCTGAACACTAGAATATTCTGAATACAATGTCTCCGACGTTTTTCTAAATAAATAATGTTCTCTCAAAGAGTCAAGGTTAGTTTAGTTTAATATTTTGGTTTCAGGTTAAAACAAAACAAAACTGTTTCAACACCAAACTCTGAAGTTCACACTTCCCAAGTAGAAATAGAAGACAAAAGCAGTTACTGTGCATATAAACATGCTTTTATTGTTTTCTGTGAAGCCGGTCCTTTACAAAGGCATAGCTCTGAACAGTGAGCATGGGAAGGCAGCTTTGGGTCTCTCAATACTAAACATTTGCACACATCTTTTAGGGGGAAACGGCGCTCTAAGAGGACGTTTCAAAGGCTGTTAATGCCTTAGTCACCCAGGAAGCATTCCATGTTCTTTCCTCGCATTCTACCGTTTCGCTGGGTTGCATATTCAGTTTTTATCATAAGCAATCCTGGAAAGCTCATGTTGGGGAGGAATCCTATAGACTCCAGGGCCAAGTGCGCAAGGCGGAGGGTTCTCAGTGTTATACTCCTTAGTCTTTCTTCACGTGCACAGTGACTCTGTGAAAGCAGATACATATCTCCCCGGGGGACTTAAATCATCCATGAGCTTATCTTGTGTGAGCTGTCCGACGCAATTAAGATTCCAAGACGGGGGATGATGAATAAGCACCGTGTGGGGCAGGAAAGGGCTTCAAAGGTCAAGTTCCTGAAAGGGTTCTTCCCCTCCAGCTCTAGCTCCGCACCCCCTTTCCTGGCTGATGGCTGCGCGGGTGACAGATTTGAACACTGCGTCCCGACTGCGAGAAGCCATCAGCCTCCCTGACAATCACAGCCTTTCACGTGCGTTCTTCCTTATCTCCCAGGGAAAGGATGAAGGCACATTCTTCTACCCAGGAGCAGCTCTGAGGGTCTGCACCTCCGGTCCCCCGGCGCCAGGCTCGGGGGAGGGGACCTTGCAGTCACCCAGTGTTGTACTCCCGGCTTCTACATATCTGCCGAAATTCGAAAATGGGTCCCTTGTGTCTGTCCTTGGGGGTAGTCTGCATGTTGAACGCGAAACCCAGCAAAGGCAGCACAAAAAGGCAAGGCAGCCTTTCCCTTCCTCCTGCCTGCAGCACCTGCGTCCACCAACTGTCCACAAAGACACTCCTGGGTGCATGGCGAGCCTTCCTCTTTTAGGGACTCTGTTCAATTTTCTAAAGATATATTTAGTTTTCTTTCTTTCTTTCTTTCTTTCTTTCTTTCTTTCTTTCTTTCTTTCTTTCTTTCTTTCTTTCTTTCTTTCTTTTCTTTCTCTATATTTTTTTTTGTTCAGGGAGAAAATGAACGAGGTTCTCCCTCCTGTTCCCCTCTCCAAGTTGTAGTATTATTCCTCCATTCAGATGGAAACGCAAGGAATGTTCTCGCCCAAGGCCACTTTGCCTCAGGATTCCGGAGCTTTCAGCACTGGGAACTTTGAGAACAGTGAGGTAGACACATCCCTGGAATCCAGAAAAAAACGGGCACTTTTTTGCCCCCCAAAGCAGTTTTCCTTCCAGCTCTGGACCAGCCTGCTCAGGTCCGGCCCCAGCGCCCACCTCCCACCTGGCGTTCCCCCCGGACCTCCTGCGGGTCCCTCTGACCGGCCTCCCCTTGTCGGCCAAGTCTGGGCAGCTCTTGGCCCAGGTGCCGCCCCTCCTCGCCTACCCCCTCCTGTCCACACCCCAGGTCCTCTAAGACTATGAACGCATCCTTCTTACCTCGTCTGGTCACTAGAGAAGTTTTGAACCCCCAGGGTCCATCTACACAGTTTCTGTCCCAAGTCAGGCAGGGCATCTTTCAAGAAAACACTAAGAAGGTCTCCATAAACTTTGCTGCCGCGAATGCTCCCGTGCCAGCGGCCGTGAGCACACATCTGCCTTCACACCTGCGCAGGTACACCTGTCCGGGCGCACACACGGCCAGGGAGCCAGCCACTGGGCAACTGTTCTGGGCGCACTAAACTCGCTGGCAACTGCCGGCGGGGACACGCGGCACCGGTTAGACATCAAAGGGAATTTCAAAATGGGCTTGGGAAGAGGGGACTAGAAAATGGTGATTCTAAACACACCTACAGGAGCGCCCGTCCACCTCCCGTCACAGAGCAGTGCTCCCCGAAAGGCACACACTTTTCAGAGGAGACCATTGTGGGTTGCACTGTATATAAAGCGCCCTCCGGGGTCCATTCATCTCGCAACTGACAGTCCTTGTCGTCTCCATGACTTCTCAGTCTGGGTCCAAAGCAGCCCCGCGCACGTTAGGCTGGGGACCAAGGCGCGCCCGGAACGCTCAGCCCGGGGTGCACAGCACCCCTCCCCCAGGCAGGTGCAGGCCCCCGGCCCCGCTGAGCAACAAGCGGGCTGTCTGCGGGAGGCCGGGTCCTCTGTGCCCCCGTCCCCGCGCGGGTCACCGCTCCCCGCCCCCCGCACAGCCAGCCGCGCCGAGCGGGCACAGGGGGAGCAGAAAGCCGATCGAGCAACTCACCCCCAGCTTCCTGCTGCGGATTTTCACGTAGCCCTGCTTGACTATGTCGTTAAAGTTGGAGGCCATGGCCAGCGCGTCGGGCTTGTGCGAGTGGAGAGCCGCTGTCCGCCGCCGGGTCCGCGCCTCCAGCCGGCCGCCGCCTGCAGCCGCGCCTCCGGGGCTCCCCGAGCTCGGGCCGGCGGGGGACGCGGGGCGGGTGGCGG